ATTGAAGTTGTCAAGGACTTCATTCTTTTTGGATCAACAACCAACTACTCACGGAAGCAGTAGTCAAGAGATCAGACGACATATTGCATTAGGCAAATCTGCTGCACAGGAACTTTTTAAAGTGTTGAAGAACAAAGATGTCAGCTTGAGGACTAAGATGTGCCTGACACAAGCCATGGTGTTTTCAATAACCTCATATGGATGCAAAAGCTGGACATAGAAGAAGACCGGGAGAATTGATGCTTTTGAGTCATGGTGTTGGAGGAGAATATTGAAAGTACTGTGGGCTGCCCATAGAACCAACAGATCTGTGTTGGAACAAGTGCAGCCAGAGTGCTCCTTGGAGGCCAAGATGACCAAACTTGGTCTCTCATATATCATGTTTGGTAAGGTGGAGGGTCAGAGAAAAAGAGGATGACTCCCAATGAAGTGGCCTAGTGGCAGCATCGATGGACTCAAGCATGGTAACAGTAGTGAGGTTGGGCCAGGATCGGGCAGTGTTTTGTTCTGCTGTGCATAAGGTCGCTAAGAGTCGGTACCAACTGGATGGCACCTGACAACAACAACAACAACATTTACCATGGTGTCTTTGACTCCTGCATGCCTCCAAGAGTCTTCCTTTGCCTTGGTCATGTTTGGCTCACCTACTCCTTATTATCTTTCCCTTCACCCAAGTTAAGGAACCCTGGTGGTGGCGCAGTGGATTACATGTTGGCCTGCTAACCACCAGATCGGTGATTCAGACGACAGGAAAAAGAGGAGGTTGTCTGCTCCCTGAAAGATTTTGTCCCAGAAACCTAAGAGAGCCATGCGACTCTGTCTTTAGGTCACTCTTGAATCTGAAATAAATCGATGGCCCTGGGTGGGTGATGGTTGTTGCCCATTAATACATGTGCGCTATCTAGTAAGTGATTTTACCTCCCTCCCCCTACTATTTTAGAGTTCAGGTGTGGTGCTGTGGGTTAATATGCTAGATGGCAAAGTCGCTTTGAACTGCAAGATCGGCAGTTCGAGCTCACCAGCTGCTTCTCAGAAACTCTATACAGGGTCACTATGTGTTAGAACTGACTCAACAGCACTTAACAACAACAACATTTTCACATATGTATCTGCATGATGTTCTACAAATACATCCAGGTATAGAGTGGGGCAAACAAGGGGCAAAGTCATCAAAACTTCTTAGTCACAACCAAACACTTTGAGGGACTGAGTCACTGGAGTATAGGACTTAAGACCATAGTCTTGGGAGAGATCTAGGTCAACTGGTATAAAGACAATGTTCTACATCCTGCTATGGTGAATAGCAATTGGAGTCTTAAAAGTTTGTGAGCTGCCATCTAAGTTACCACTACTGGTCTCTCTCCATCTGGAGCAAAGAAGAATGAAGAAAATCGAAGACTCAAGGAAATAATTAGGCCAAAGGTCTAATGAACCACAAGAAGTACAGGCTCCACTAGCCAGAGGTCAGAGGAACTAGGTGGTCCCCCAGCTGCCACTACACCATTCTGATCAGGATCACTATTCAAGTCCTGGACAGAGTGGGAGAAGAATGTAGAACCAAATTCAGAAACATAAAGACCAGATTACTGGTCTGATAGAGATGGTGGAGCTTCCGAGACTCCACCCTTAGACACTCTTCAAACCTGCAACTTAATCCACACCTTTCAGTCAGATGACAGAAAGGCGTACCAAGTAAACATTAACACCCGCGAGGAACATGCTCCTCGGATTGATCAACCACGCAAAACCCAAAGGGCAGCGTTTGCTCAAAACCAAAGCCAAGAAGACAACAAGAGGCAGGCAAGACAGATAAATGGAAATAGGGAAAACAGCGAGGTACTGTTACACTGACCAGGTTGTAACTCATTTCACAAACAAAATGTGTAGAAAATTTGAACGGGGAAACCGATTTGCTCTATGTGCTTTCGCTCAAACCACAATAAAATGTTCAAAACAAAAGAATTACTAAAGACAAAAAAATGAGAGAATGAAACCAATGTCACTAGCAATTTGTGTAGAAACTGTTCAATGGGAACCTACACTGGGATATAAATCTTAACTAAAAAACTCAACAAAAATATTATTTAAAAAGAAGAGGAGGACTCTCACTGAATAGATTTCATCTTGTCTAGATGGGCCTGGTAAAAAGAGATGGGGAAAAGATTCTTATGATTCAATAGTGAGTAATCGTTATCATGATTAATTGCGACTGTCACAATTGTAAAGGTTTTGTAACAAAAATGGGGAAGTAGTTAATCTTGCAGTCCAGAAACAGAGAACCCTCAGATCATCAAGGGAAAAGAGCATAAGTGGAATGTGGGACCCTATCCAGAGAAGCAGCGACACCAAGATGGAAGCAGAGACATGGAGACATGGAGAGAGGGAGCAGCTGAGGACTCTAGACTCATGGAAACAGTGGGTGCTGGTGGCCAGGAGGCACGCTTGCAGAATGTGCCCTTTGGTTGTTTAAATTAATGATATATTCCTGAGTGTTTTTGTGTACATCCCCCCTCCCCCGTCACAAAAAAAAAACTCCAAAGGGAATAGAAGCAAATACTACTAAATGATGATGCACGCAGGGGATTGTCATCATTGCAATGAAATGATGAGTGTAAAGCTGATGTTCTCCCATGTAAACTATCACTCAATTCACAATAAAAAACAAAAAAAGAAGAGGAGGACAAGAGACAGAGAGACAGCAAGACTCAGACTTCCGGACTGATGCTGCCTCAAGCCAAGGAATGCCAGTCGTCACCACAGACTGGAACAGACCACAAAGATCCTCCTTTAGATTCCTCAGAGAGTGTGGTCCTGCTGATATGCTGAATTTGAGCTTATCAGCATCCAGAACTGCGTGGCAATACATTTCTGACATTTGAAGTCACCCACATTGTGGAAACCAATTATGAAAGCCCTAGAAATTGAAAGCACCCTCTCACCCTTGGGGCTCCCTGGCTACCAGACTTGGCCCAGGCTGGCTGCCCCCGGCCCTCACCTTTCTGCACCTTGTCACACAGCAGGTACAACTCCTCGCCACCCGTGCAAGGTCCGCTCTCCTTGTTGATCCGGCAGATCCGCAGCTCTGACGTGTTTGTGGACTCTGGGAGGGAGTGAGGGGAAGAGGCATTTAAGAGCTGCCCTGGGCTATGTACAGCTGGGAGATGGAGAAGTGGGGAGAGGAGGGGCCTGCTGCAGGTGGAGGAAGAGGAAGCTCTCAGATGGAAGGGGCAGTCAGGAGTCCCTAAGTGGTACACACGGCTAAGCACTCCACTACTAGTCATAAGACTGATACTTTGAATCTACTCACAAGCGCCTTGAAAGAAAGGGGTGGCAATCTGGTTCTGAAAGGTCACAGCCTTGAAAACCCTATGGAGCAGTTCAACTCTGAACACGTGGGGTTGCCAAGAACCCTAACTGACGCGACGGCAACTAACAACAACAACAACGGACAATCATGAGTCCTTTTCTTTGCTGAGGGCTGGTCAGTGTCTAGTGAGGGCCAAGGGGAAGACCGTCAGGCCATGGGAAGAGCTGGAAGGGTCAGGGACCAGAGGATTCTGGAGAAAGGGGAACACCCTCAAATCTGTAGTGAACAACTGTTTTCTTGCTATCCAGCAATGTTTTTTTTTTCCTCCATAAAAGAGAAAGTATTCATGTTGGGACCACTTGGTACAGGTATATAGGTTGTGCATTGTTTAACAGTAGCAAGTCCCATTTGCATAGGCTACAGAGTAAATACTGATCACTGAAATTGATCAGTGCACAACATGCACATCCATACAGGTCAACCATGCCCTTGCCCAGGCCTCAAACACAGATATGATGTTCACAGCTGTGGCAGCTATTTCATAGCCATGAGGAAAGCTCAAAAGAATCACTTTGTTGGTTGCCGGATCATCATTTGTTAACAGGAGCTCAGTTTTTCTTTGAAGGACCATCTACCATCTGGATTATGGGCGGCTGGGTAGAGTTGAGCCAACTTCCTACTTCAATAGCGATCACATGCTCCAAGCCTGGCCAATCAGAGTATTGCCTCTCTCTCCAACCACAGCTGATTGGCTGGGACGGAGCACATGACCAAAACTAAGCCAATGAGAGAGAACTCTGAAACTTCAAGCAAAAACATTGCATAAGCTCTGTTTTCTGTGATGAGGGGGACAGGTGATGCGCTGGAAAGATATAAACCTCAGTCAAGCTGCTAACTTCAAGGCCAGCAGTTTGAAACTACCAGCAGTTCTGTGGGAGAAAGATGAGGCTTTTTGCTCCAGTAAAGATTTACAGCCTCAGAAACCCTATACAGGGTCAGTGTGAGTCGGAACTGACTCCACGGCACACAATCACCACCACACACAGCTATTTTGTCCCACATGGGAGGGCCCTCCCGAGATAACTAACATGGAGGAAGCACAGAAAGGGACAGGTCCCCAATGACATCACTAGAGACCTGGATACAGTCAGACCTGAAGAGCTGTGCTACATCTGGGCGTTTTGTTTATTGAAATAGATATTCCCCCCATAAGCGCACCTGAGTTGGATTCTGTTATGTGCATCCATAAAAGCCCTCACTGAATTAATATGCCTTCTCGATTCAATGCCTGTGTTTGTCTTTGCAGGTTGACTAGAACCTAATTGCCATGCTTACTCTCCTCTTTCAAGCCTGAAGCCCTCCTGTTGTTGTTAGGTGTGGTGGAGTTGGTTCTGAATCATAGGGAACCTATATAGCTTTTACAAGGAGCAGCTGGTAGGTTTGAACTTCAGATTTTGCTGTTCAAACTGACCTTTCGGTCCAGTGCTTATCCTACATTGCAACATCAGGACTCCAAACTCCTCTCTAGAGGCTGAAAAACCGAAACACTTGCTTCCTCAGGCTTCTTGTCACTAGGGATGATCATGTGATCAAGTTCTAGCCCATAAGTCCTAAGAAATCATCCCCCAGGAGACTTCTGGGAAATATATTGCTTTCTTCATAAAAGAGAAATATTATTCATGCTGTCTCTTCCCTGGGGCCGTCTGATAGTTCCACCGTTTGTGCACTATGTAATATTAGGAAGTCCCACACACTGGACTGCTAACCACAAGTTCACACCTACCAGCTGCTCTGCAAGAGAAAGATGAAGCTTTCTGCTCCCATAAAGATTTTCAGCCTTGGAAACCCTATACAGGGACTCTATGAGTCAGAACCGACTTGGTGGCAGTGGATTTGGTTTCTTTTGGTTTGAGTAGTAAATAAAGATCTCTGGGATTAGGTAGTACACAAACTGCTCAGTCATTCAGAGTGACCCTGATTCTCCCATGCTTTGAACACAGATATGATGTCCAGGGCTGTGAAAGTCATTTAACGACCATGAGGGAAAGGCCAAGAGAATCACACAGCATCTGAGTCACTGAAGCAACGCTAGCAGCCATTAGCAGTGAGATCAACATATAGACAATTCTGCTCATCGGTCTATGCATGGGCCCTCAGGTACCTGCTGTCACAAGCAATCTGGTGCCTGAACCCTCAACTCACTCTTGTCATAGACAGGCTCCGAGAGCACAGGATCCATCCGTCGCATCTGTCCCTGCGGATCTCGATATGAGGCCTGGAAGCAGATTCTCACGACATTCATGTCCACTTCTTGATGGTTCTTCAAGGACCCGGCTGTGGGGGGGAGCAGTGGGTGGGCTGAGTGGGTGGGGACACCCTAAGGGAGGCGGGGCAGAGGAAAGGAAGACTTGGGAGGCTGGTGAATAGGTTAGGTGGGAGGCTCACCGTTGTAAGGGTCGATGCCCAGTTGGATCTTGCGCTCAATGGCAGTTTCAATTTCTTTCTTCCTCACACACTGGATGCCCAAGTTGTTAAAGCTGAGTGGTCAGCGGGAGGAGGGAAACCCGTGAGGGGAGGCGCAGGTGGTGGCTCTGACCCACAAGAGGGGCTCATAGTCTTAGGGGGTTAAGACATCCCAGGCCCAAGGCTCCCAGCATTAGGAGGGGCCTTAGGTACAACCCCCTCAGAATAGTCAGGAATTTTTTGTTGTTAATTTTAAAACTGAAAAAAACAGAAACACCTTTTTATTTTTATAGCTTACTTATATTGGGAAGGAGACCTGCTGGTACAGTGGGTTAAGTTTTGGGCTGCTCACCAAAAGGTCGGCAGTTCAAACTCCCCAGCTGCCCCATGGGAAAAAGGTGAGGCCGCCTACTCCCATAAAGATGAACAGTCTCCGAAACCCTCTGTGGACGGTTCTACTCTGTCATCCGGGTCGCTAAGAGTCAGAATCAATTTGAAGGCAGTGGGTTTCTTTTGGTTCATTACATTGAGAAACAAATTTGCTTCAACATACTTATTTTTAGATAAAATTTCTCAAAGATATTTTTCTAAGATGAGTTTGTTATATAATTGACATACTAAGAAATCTTTTTTTTTAAGCAATAGCAATTGAACTTGATTAAAGGTTTATAGTTCCTCAGACATGCTAAAAGCACTATTTTTTCCTCTCCTCTCCTGAAAAATGACTTTCAACGGCTCATTTTGAGAATGCCTCTCTGATCCTCAACTTCCACCTCTATGCAAGGGGGACAAGAGTAACCTGGATGTGGCAGGGTTGCAGGTCTACATTGAACAGTCCTTGATTCTAACTGCAGGCCTCAGTTTCCCTCCCCTCCCAGCCCTGAGGTTTCCCTGGGTGACAGATCCTCAGTCCCTTAAAATCTCCACCCCCTAGGGTCCAGGTCAGGGGTCAAGAGTCAGTACCTGTGCCGGGGGCTGACGTGAGGCCGGAGCCGCACCCTGCAGACACCATCTGTGCAGTCTTTACCCACGAGGCTGTGGGGGTGGACTCGGTGAGGCCAGTCCTTCCATACCAGGCACGCTGTCACCTCCACCTCCCGCAGCCCGCCACACTCCCGGAGCTGCAGGAAGATGGTGTGCTTGCTCTTGGAGCCCCATCGCAGACCCTCACTCACACCCACCCCAGCTCCTGGAGACCACCTTTCCTTGGCAGCTCCCACCCTTTCCCCCATCCTCCACCAGAATATGATGTTGGGATCATCTGGAATGCTTACTTAAGACCTTACTAAGATCCTAAGGGTAGGAGTCCTGGTGTGGCGCTGTGGGTTAAGGCACTGGACTGCCAAGCCAGTTTGAACCACAAAGGTGGCGGTTCAAGCTCACCAGCTACTCCTCAGGAAACCCTCGACGGCACTTAACAACAACAACATACCTGTTGCTAAGCTGTTGAACAGGTTTCAGTAGAGCTTCCAGGCTAAGGTGGGTTCAGAAGAAAGGTCTGGTGTCTGCTTCAGAAAATCATGAAAACCTCATGGGTCACAACGACCCGATCTCCATGATCACAGGAATGACGTGTTTTGATTCACTATTGTTTGTGTTTTGTGACTTTGGAGACCCCACATGGTACAGAGTCCTACTCCCCATCGAACTTTCTAGGTTGTAATCTTTACAGAATTGGGCTGCCGGGGCTGTTTCTTCCACGGCATCGCTGGGTGGGTTTGAACCGCCAACCTTTCGGTTACTGTTGTTGTTACGTTGTCGAGTCGGTTCCAACTGATAACCACCCTGTATAGGGTCTCTGAGAAGGAACTGGTGGGTTTGAACCGCCAACTTAGAAGTTAGCAGTCCAGTGCTTAGCCAACAGTGCCACACCAGGACTAGTTGAGTTACGAGTCGAATGCAAACCGTATGCATCATCCAGGGACCCCCTATGTTTCATGCCACTGTGCGTGGGGTCATAGTGAGTGGGGGGCTGTGTCAACAGTAGATGATACCAAAAAGGTTGTAAGCTCTTCTTGAGGCTTCAAACTGGTGACTTGGGCGCTGTGTGTGCCCACGGATGTGCTTTTCTTTGGTCACTTAGAGGTTTGTACAAATACTTTCCAAACAGCTTCTTAGTTACCAGGGGAGAAGGCACCTTTGCCAGCGATGGACCCATTGGCACCACTGAACAAGATGCTCAGACTCAAACCCGGAAAACACCCATTGTCATCGACTCAATCCTGATTCACAGAGACCCTAGAAAGCAGAGTCTAGTTGCCCCGAAGGATTTCCTAGGCTGTCATCTTGTGGAAGCTGACTGTTACATTCTCCCTGCCGGGCGGCTGGCAAATTTGAATCACCAACCTTTCCATTAGCAGTAAAATGCCAAACACCTATGCCACCAGAGCTCTTAGATGAAACTCAGCATCACCAATTGAAAGGGACTGAATGTGCCCCACCAAAATATGTGTCAAGGTGGATAGGTTATGATTCTCAGGATTATGGAATTCTCCTCTGTTGTGTGATGTGATGGTACTGTCCTGTGTGTGCCAATTCCTCTCCTCTATGGTGTTAGTGAGGCACTGTTTGTGCGTGTATAAAGGAGAGCGAAAGAGACAGAAAGCATGGTAAAATGGCAATTGGTTAGGTTTAGACAAAGGGTACAAAGGTGTTTGTTTTACTATTCTAACATCTTTGCAGGCCTCACATTTTTCAAAATAAAAAGTTGGGAGGTTTTTGGAGTGCACATTTAAAAACTGTGAGAGATCACATGACTCCAAACTTCCAGATGCTGCTTAAAAAACAACCCTAAAGCAACGAAACCTAAAGATCCTTAAAATCGGTTACGACTCTTAGCGACCCCCTAAGGCAGAGTGGGATTGCTCCAGGATTCCCAAGACTGTAAATCTTTATGGGAACACATAGTCTCATCATTTTCCCGCTGACTGGCTGATAGGTTCGAACCACTGACCTTGTACAGTAGGCAGTCCAGTGCCACCGGGGCTCCTACTGAGCCACCAAATAAACCCACTGCTGCTGAGGGAATCTGAAACCATATATCTTCACGGGAGCCAACAGCCTCAGGCTGGTGGATTTGAACAGCCGACCTTGAGGTCACAGTCTAAGCACTCAGCCAGAGAACCATCAGGACTCCTTAAAATAACAACTGGAAGTTATGGCAACCTAAGCCGAAATTCCTATTCAACAGCCATGGAGCACTGCAGAGAAAAGAGGCCGAGATTGACCCCTCTGGTCATTTGGCTTCCCTGGAGGCATCTGAGAGCTTCAATAACTTGCTCTAGCTTCAACAAGGGCAACAAGAAAATACAAAACCAACCTACAGAGTTGATTCTGACTCATAATGATCCTAGAGGGCATTATCCTATTTTATCAAAAGTATATTAAGGTGTCAGCTTGAGGACTAAGGTGCTCCTGACCCAAGCGATGGTATTTTCAATAACCTCATATGCATGCAAAAGCTGGACAGTGAATAAGGAAGACTGTCGAAGAATTGATGCTTCTAAGTTATGGTGTTGGAGGAGAATACTGAAAGTGCCATGGGCTGCCAAAAGAACCAACAGATCTGTGTTGAAAGAAGTGCAGCCAGAGTGTTCCTTGGAGGCCGGGATGGCCAAACTCTGTCTCTCATACTTTGGACATATTGTCAGGAGGGACCAGTCGCTTGAGGATATCATGTTTGGTAAAGTGAAGGGTCAGAGAAAAGGAGAAAGACCCCCAGCAAGATGGATTAGCCAAGTGTAGTAGCATCGATGGGCTCAAGTGTGGCAACAATAGTGAGGTTGGCCCAAGATCGGGCAGTGTTTCATTCTGCTGTGCAGAAGGTCGCTATGGGTCGGTACCGACTCGATGGCACCTGACAACAACAATGTTAAGGTGTCAAGGAAGAATACTGAAAGTAGCATGGACTGTCAAAAGAACAAACAAATCTGCCGTAGAAGCACAGCCAGAGTGCTCCCGAGAAGCCAGGAAGGTGAGAGCTCGTCTCACTTCCGACATGTTATCAGGAGGGACCAGTCCCTGGAGAAGGACCTCATGCTTGGTAAAGTCAGCGAAAAAGAGGAAGACCCTCAACAAGATGGAATGACATAGTGGCTACAACAATGGGCTCAAACAGCAACTGTGGGGAGGGTACAGGACCGAGTGATGCTTACTTCACTCTGTTTTGCACAGGGTCACAAACCTAGGGGGAGTTGGAACCAACTCAATGGTACCTACCAACAGTGCAGGGTAGAACTGCCCATAGCATTTCTAAGGTCCACAGAGCAGCTGGTGGGCTCGAACCTCCAACCATTCAGTTAGCAGCTTAATGTTTAACCATGGCAATACCACGGCTATAAGATCAAACTTTGAAAATAAAAACCTAAAAATTAGCCAGTGACTAAGTGGGGGAGTTCTGCCCCCTAGGGGTCGTTTGGAACATTGGGGGTGATTCTAGTTAATGCTGAGTGCTTGGGCGGTGGTTCCCCACTGCGAACAGAATGGTTGGAGGTTCAAGTCCGCCCAGTAGCACCATGGACAAAAAGGCCAGGGGTTCTGTTTTGTTACAGACTGTTGTTACTGGGTACCATCGAGTCAATTCCAACCCATGTGACAGAGCAGAACTGCCCTCTAGGGCTTTCCTGGCTGTAATCTTTACGGAAGCAAATTGCCAGTCATTCTTCCTTCCCCACTGCCACTGGGTGAGTTCGAACTGGAACCTTTCAGACACCAGCCACCAAGTGCTTAATTGTTGCGCCATCAGAGTCCCCTCTGTTAAACATTATATCGAAGAAAACTCTACGGTGAAGTTTTGCATTGTAACACAAGGGGTCACCATGAATTGGAATTGACGCAAAGGCAACAACTTTGGTTAGCACAGAGCCCCCTAGTGGTGCTAACCAAAAGGCTAGAGACACGAGTCTACCCAGAAGAACCTAGGAAGAAAGGTCTGGTGGTCTACTTCTGAAAACTCAGCCACTGAAAATCCCATTGAGCACAGTCTTACTCTGACACACATAGGGTCCCCACAAGATAAAGTCCATACGTGGCAACTGGTTGGTTTTTTTTCAGTTGATTTTTTAGTGATGGGGACCCACAGCAGAACTCACAGGGCCACAGGCACTAAGCAATCTACAAGTCCAGAGACAGCCCCACACCACTGTCCCGGGTCCTGTAAGACCTCTGGAAGTCCCACTGGCCATCTAGGTCAGTGATCAACCCTGTTTAAAGTCAGCCGAGCCAAGAACCTAGCTCTGTTTTATGTCTACCAAAACCAAACCAAACCAAACCCCATCATCCAGTTGATTCTGACTCCTAGAGACCCTAAAGGATAGAGTAGAACTGCCCCACTGGGTTTCCGAGGCTGTAAATTTTTACAGAAGCAGAATGCCACATTTTTCTCCCACGGAGTGGCTGGTGAGTTTGAACTGCTAACCTTTTGCATTAGCAGTCCAATGTTGAACCCACTATGCCACCAGGGTTCATTTGGACGTCTACAGTATGAGAGGGCTTCAAAAAGTTTGTGGGAAATGCAATGAAAAGAGAATGGGATTTCTCCACGAACTTTTTGAAGCCCCCTGGTATACTGGTATTTACCCTGCACAGTTTTAATATATGTTGAATATGCAGCATCCCAGTGTGGCACCGTACAATAAGGAAGAGACTGTTAACTGCAAGGTTGGTGGCTCAAGTCCACCAAACACTCCTTGAAAACACCACCCAGCATCGCTGAGTTGGATCTGACTCTACAGCACTTAACAACAACAACAGCATACAAGAACCGCAAACCCATCATGTTACTTGAGGGAAAACTGGGTTGTGTTGAGACCAAGAGTAGCTTGATGCTTTGGAAAATCCAGACACTGATGATGACCCCACGTGTGGCATTTAGATCACTAAGTCCACACTGCTGGGTCAAACTACATCTGCGGTCGCCTAATCAACAAGGAACCCGCTACAGTCCCAAGCACCTGCCTCCTTCATTATGCCTGCGGTGGGGCCGGGGCACTGCAAATATATGTTCTCGTGTTGTGGTTAAGGACATCATTTTGCTTGGATCTACAATCAACACTCATAGCAGCGGTCAAAAAATCAAACGGCATATTGTATTAGGCAAATCTGCTGCACAAGACCTCTTCAA